CTAGTTAAGTCCTCAGACCATGTAACCACCTGAGAAAGGCCCTTGGGTAAGGGGAGTGGAAATTGCTCCCTCTCAACAAGAATGTACAGATGTAAACGTGAACTACAGTGGCATCTCTAATGGCACCTGAATGGGTGTTGCTGACCTTCATTCACCTGTGCCACAGGTCCAAGGGTGGCCAGCAGGCCTGACCAGAGTCCCTGCCAAGAAAGGACCCCTCTTACCTTTTGCTGATGCGGTACTCCACTGGTAACTGCTTTTCGCCTGATGCCACCACAGATCTCTGTAGCTGGTGTGAAGGATGTAAGAGAAAGTCCAAGTGGTTATGATGCAAAGGGAAGGGCTCTCACTTCCATAGACACACTCCTCTCTTAGCATAAGCCTAACAATCACCCGTTTTTCCTTAATTAAAGGATATTTTGTACATGCTACTAATTTAGTGATAGCTATCAATCTTAAGTGACATAAAAGCTCAGAGTGGAAAATAACCTTTAGCTTCATATCTGGTAAATAGTAAAAACTGAAAAAGGTCTGTAGAACTGAAATACAAGTGATTTTGAATCCCTTTTGCATCTGCAAGACTGTGAGTTCTGTAAGAACAAGGACTGTTTCTTATTCATCTTTATATCCCAGTGTTTGGGGCAGGGCCTGACTGATGGTAAGTTAAGCTTCGACTTAGTGTTCGTCAAATTAAATGAACACCTCCAATGACAGGACACTTTCTACCCTCAGAGGCAGCCCGCTACTTCTGAACAATTCTGATAAAAGCCCTTCCTTACAGAGAATCAAAATCTGTTTTGTTTGCAGCTGCCTTGGTTATGGGGAAAAAACAACCAAACAGGTTTGAAGTCACTAATTTAACTGAATGTCTCTATTTTGTTCTGAATGTCTAGATATAGATTTTAAATTATTTTTAAATAAAGTGGCCTCTAATTGCAAAAGTACTGTACCAGGGACAGAAAGAGAAATATTATTTACATAAGGATGTCTACTCCTGCATTTGTCATCAGAATGTCAGCTCCGTGAGGGCAAGGACTTGGTCTTTTTTCAGTGCTGTATCCCCAGGATGCAGAGAAGGCCTGGCCGGGAGTAGGTGCTCAATATTGGTGAAATGTACCCAGGAGTGAATGAACCAGAGTCCTGTGGCTAAAGACACAGCCCCGGCACTTCGCATGTGGTGACAGCAGAGCACGGAGCAACAAAGGGCATGTGACAGAAACCCTTTCCCTTCTCAGAGGCTTCTACAATATTATTATTCCTGCT